CCTTGTAGTTCCCAAATTCATCTCTTGAAGCTTCTCCAACCACATTCGTTCTCATTGACTTCTCTGCAACATCTTCACAACCATGATATCTAGCCATGGCAATGGAACAAGTTAAGTAAGTGACCAAGAAGACCACAACTTTAAGAAGCATCTAATTGAAAAAGTTTAGCAAAAAAAAACTTTAAGAAGCGTCTTCATCTCCATTTTTTTACTTTCGAGTACTTTTTAAACTATACAGTAGATTCTTAAGAATGATTCCTATTCGTGTATATATGCATGTCTATAGATTTTTGTTTTGGCCTTATTATTTCTTCATGAGTTAATGCATATTTAGTTAAATGGTTCAAATTTTTTTTTTTTTGATAAAGAAATGGTTCAAAATTCATTGACTAAATTAGTGAATAGTCCAGGAACAGTATGTTTTAGGTTGCTACATTGTATATAATGCTAGTTCAGAGTTTCTAATATTAGAACAAAATTAATTTTTATTAATTCATGATATGTCTGATGATGATCAGTCTGATTTTTGAACTTTAAACCATGTGTTTTAGGTAGACTATAAATAATTTCCTACTATTTAGGTATTCAAATTTAGATGGTAATTTCAAGAAATTGTTCGATCATAAGACGAAATTATATAGATATGGCCGAGTGAGATACTCACACCTAGTCTTCTTTTTTGTAAGAAACCATTTGAGAATTGTAGTACGAACGTGGTTGGGAAAATTAGTTTATCGGTAAAAAAGATCTACAGAAAACTAAACTTCAAAAACGTTTTCTCCCTCAAACAATGAAAGGGTAAATTTTGGAAAAATGGGAGAATACTAATTGCAACCGCTTCTATCGATTAAGGCCGGAATTGAGCCATCACTAATGAGATCCGTTATCTACTCTGTCATTACTTACAGAGTTTGAGAAAATCAATACAAGAAAGAAAAAAGTTGGAAGGACTTTAAATCATTATAGTCAAATATATTATTGAGCTTGACCAATATTTTCTACCTCTTTCTCTATGCTTGTGAGATTCATTGTCCCCAAGAAAAATGACATGTGATGTGTTACAAAACCTTAGGACAAGTGGCATGGACGGCTCGGAGTCAGAGT